TGTTAAGCATGTGGATGATATCCTTGATTATTTTTAGATTAGTATTCAGAGATTTTATTTGGGTTAAAGACACCTTGCTATCGCTGAATATAGTAATTTGCTGCTGTGTTCTGCCCTTTATATTATTGTGGACGTGTTACAGGGCTTTAAGAATGGCTAAGCTTTCAGCCTGATTTATTGTACAAAATGAATCCAATTTGAAGTAGACCTGGTAGACTACCCTGTTATGGTTGTCAAAGGTCACCATGGCTGCCCCCACTCCGTATGGGCTTTTGGACCCATCGGTAAAGATGTTGATTCCTGTTTTTATTTTCGGATCTGGGGAAAGATCAACCTCGGGGGGGGGTCAGTTGCCGGATGCATCAGTCTGTAATTATTGTACCTTTCGAGTCCATGTCTGTGGATTTCTTCGGCAATTATCTTTATCTGATTTGGAGTGTTGTTGGTTGAGACTAGGTGATCTGAGTAGTTCATTAGTTGAAAAGTCCAATACTTTCTTTTGTTATGCATAAATAACAACCTGAAAAGTAAAATCCAAGTAATGTATTGAATTATGTTAAACGTGAAACGAAGGCTAATAATCCATACACGTTTAGATAATCAGAATAATTCATCGAAGAATACATTTGTTCCTCTTTATATATATATAACCCTATTTACGTTCAAACTGCGTTAAAATATTTTTTAAATATAATTATATAGTATGCACTAGAAGATACTTTTCTTTAATAATCAAGGGCAAGGATGTATGATCTTACTCATCAGCAATGTTTACAATTTCTGCTCTGCAACGTTAAGCAGAAATTTACTTTAAAGTTTTCTTAATTATTATTTGCAATAACTTGTATTGTATCAATTTATAAACGTAGGAGAAATGGAGGATGGGATAATGTAACTCAATAGACAGTGATCTGCCAAGGGGTGTCTCCCAGGAGGACTTTCAATGGAAAACTGATCCCCCGTTTAAATGTTAAATATGCGTAAAAAATCCCCAAGAAACTCTACAAGGATAGCCCATTTATCGGGCGCGAATCCATCATCAACTCTATCAGCTTCTTTAATTAAATATATTGAACAGCATGAGTTAAAGATAAAATTATACTGCTATTAGGGGATTTTTTTTCTGCGTATGAATGTTTGTGTGTTTATTGGGGAAATGATTCTTTTAGCGACTTTTTCTTTATGAAATTCTTTTTGAAATACGGTATATATTTTATGTTATTATTTACAATTTTCAACGAAAGTAGATCGAAAGGTCTTCGTACGTTAAACAGGTTTGGAGGGTACTCTTTTTTAGAATAGTTAAGTGACTTCCATTATACGAATAGTATTAGTAATTTAGTAATAGTTAATATTAGTAATTTGATATAAATTTGAAGACTTAAAGGTAATTGAAATGTAGCAATTATTAGGTATTAAAAGAAATAAAAATGCCGGAAAAGTCCACCAAATTTGCCAGCTATACTTTTATAAGTCTACGTGAAAAAATAACTGGCACAATGGCAAGAATGTTTCTTCCTATAGAGATTAAATTGAATCAATTTCGTTTCGTCTTGGAGTTAAAGTTCTACTATAAGTAATAGTTACGTATTATATAAATGGTGCAGTTTTCTTTATATTCTTTTAAAAAATTAATTTTTTAAAAATATTTCTTCAAAGGAAATTAATGATACTTCATAGGTTAAATCCGAAGAATATTTTTTTTTGTCTGGACCTCATTTTATCAGAGACAAAAACTTCTGGGTGTTATCTTCGTTATTCTTTATTCACTATTCCATTTCGGGTGCAATATTTTTGTGTAACTTGCACCAATCATTAGGTGTTACATTTCTATAAATTGGTATAAATTCGATTATTACAGTAATTATTACGGTAAAATTACAACAATTATTACAACTTCTGTTATTTGGTTATATTTACACAATAGTGAACTAACCTGTTTTATATGTTTAGACATACAGCTACGAGGTGTTCATGTTGTATCCCCTAAAGCATATTTAACCGTCTTTTTTTCTTTCTCGATTCTCAAAGATATATTGTTGCAAATGCAAGTAAACCTTCCATAGATCATTTTCAAGACGACACACTATGTTTATTTTAGGGAACTTTTCAAGGCTTTTCAGAACTTTACAGAATATTACAACGTAAACAGCTTAATCTAGAGATTACCCCAATAAAGTTTAATTTAATTATTTACTTTTTAAGAGTATTTTACAAGTAGATCGCATCAACAGAAAACGCCCATGACAATGGTATAGGCTACTAAGTTTGGATATAATTTCTATGTACCCATCAATAAAATGGGAATTAATTGAAAAAAAAAACCTACATATTCTAGAAATACATAGCTGTCTACTAGAGTTAATAAAATACAGTTTTAAAAATAATTACTTCCATATAAATGAAAAAATATATGGACAGAAAAATGGTATTATTATGGGAACAATAATCGATCCAAAACTTGCAGAAATATGTATGAAAGAAATAGATAAAACCTAAATGGAATAATATTAAACCAAACAAGAGTAATATATGAGATAAAATGTACTGTACATGTAAAAAAACCAGCAATATACATTGGCGAAACAGGAAGGCAACTTAGAACCAGAATAAAAGAACATGAAGCAGCAATTAGACTTAAATATAACCAGTTATCATGGACAAATCACTGCAAGTTTGAATGCACAATCAATGAAAAAAATGTAAAAATAATCCACAGGGAAAAAGTCAGTTATCTACGTAAATTCAAAGAACACTTCGTAATTGTTAATAAAAACAAAACCATAAACCTAAATAGTGGCATGGAGGTTGACAACGTATGGGAGGAAATGGCAGGGGCTAAAGATCAAGAAAACAGAACAAAAAAGATTAAGAAACCCCTACTGCAGGTTATGGATTCGAAACGGAATTACACCTAAATACATATATTTTCAATCTATGCTAGAACGAACGGGGTTCTAGAACCAATGACGTTCGTTCTAGCAGACTACCGTTCTACTCCTACAACGATGCAGCGAGCTCTGTGTGTTACAATTAGGTCTAGAGCAAAGACAGGAAGCTGTGCTGTCGGACTGGTCATTCTCAGTGTTAACGCCGTAAAGATATGTCCTTCTGTATAGTTAAGGTGTTTAAACACAGAGTTAAAAGAGTCTATTGTAAGACATTTATATCAGGATATTGCTTAAAAATGGTTGTCAACGCTGTTCATTCCCACACTTCAACTCATTTAGTGTAGTTCTCGAAGCCGTATAAAAACGAGCTACGTGAATACTAATGGCACCGAACTCTACAACGTTCGTGATGTAACACTGTTTATATATTGTTTTCCCCGATAATAACTCTGTGTATAATACATATCAAGGACGCTATTATTTTATTTTTAAACCGAGATGCCACACGTGGCATGGTCAAAGAGATAGAGTTAAATAAGCTACACGACAAGTACACGTGGCGTTTGTTGATAACTGTATTGTTTATCTTCGATTTTACAGACTTCGAAATAATAAATTTCTTATGTGATTTATTAACCCTTTAGGGGTTGATGAAAGTTTGAGGAAATAGCTAAAACTTTGGAAATATTTAAAAGAAAATTATTTAACAATATTTAAAATTTTACACATGTTTTTGCTCTTAAATAAATGTAGGAAGATATCTTTTAAAAAGTATGTTAGGGGCTATGACAAATATAATACAATATTGTATAATATGTATGATATATAATATTGAAGGAATCGACCGAAAAAAAATCTTTTAAAAGGAGTCAATACACGAAAAAGATAGGGAATAATTGTAATAATTGGTTTAACCCTATATTTTTATTGGTCTGTAGGAAAATGGAACCAATCTTCCATTTTATTTTCCCAGCTTCTCGTGTTCATAACGTGGTAAAGTATTGGAATTGTATCAAATTTGACTTTAAAAAATCTATACTGTACTGTACAATACATAATAAGGGAAAGCATTGGATTCGTGTCAAATTTGACCCTCAGAGTTCTTTGTAAATCTCCACGTTTGCAGACCTCCTGAAAAGTCAAAAAAATGAAAAAGTATTTCGTGTATGTGTGTATTGGCATCTATAAGAAACGAAATTAGGCATAATAGCTTGTGTATAAGGAGCATCAATGCTCCTTATTATTATTTAATAGTATCATAGTTCCTTAATATTAAAGAGTGGAGAGATAGAGAATTTCGAGAGAGGTCGTACTACATGAAGATATTATTCGTTATTAACATTTTCAATATTTCGTTTTAAAACTCATCTCTTCCCTCAAAATTAAGCCTTTTGTCATTTTATAATACTTCAGTTAAAAATATAAAAAGTTTCTATCAGAAAAAGGATTCTTCTAATAGTCTAGTGTTATTTATTACGTCTTTCTTCATTACTCGAAATTAACAGACACCAAGATTAAAACAGTTCACTTCATTTCTCCTATTTAACAATGCATTTCGGATTGGTAATTTTCCAATCCCTCTTCACGCTCACGGCTTCAGTGTCTAAGGTTGTTGTCTACAACATAACGAACAAAAGGTTAGTTCGTGTAAATATACATTTATTATCCAGAATTATGCATATAGTGCACAATTTGTACACATCCTAATGGGGGCAGTTTCTAAATATTAGTCTCTTTCACCTACTGGCATGTCTATTTTTACGTACTGATCCGTACCATACTCAGTACCTCCACATTGTCGGTACCTTCCACATTGTCAAAATCGAAAAATGCTATGCGCCGTGAGGTAATATATACAGAATCAATAGATATACTGGGCCTTCAGCTATGCTGTAGAGTTAATGCGTCAGCAAACCGATAGCTGGCGCTAGAGTCGCATTACGGCGAAAAGTTATTGGTTTATCTATTGTTAGTAAGTAGTTTTACCGTTTTAAAGGATACAAACAAGTTCATATTTTTCTTTAATATATTTTATTAATTCATTCACTAGTACATTTGAATAATTATTAAATGTTAATTGAATTCATTTCGTTATTTACTTTTTAACAGTAATTTTATACAAAACAATTATTCTTCTTAATTATATCACATATAAATTGGAAGATTTTCTGTATTTATCAAAATAATTTCTTTAAAACAAGTTTTATACACGACTCGTAAACTGCAATGCTATCTTCAATTAATTATATTCTGAAGATCGCTTTATAATATAATATATAACATTTTTGTACAAAGTAAGTTATATATAACAGGTATAAAATTAATATATAACATGTTCCATATGTGTAAATTCACATAAAAATTTACATTCTTGTGCAGTTTAACATGTGATACCTTCGTTTTATACAGCAATAAAATTGATATCTTATATTTTACACAAATTTTATAGACGATATATATATTTTATTGAATCCTTGTCAGGTGGCAAATTAACTGTCGAACTACAAACAGTATTAATATATATCTTATTATGATCTTTATCTATTACATCGATTTTCTCAGAAATAAATTCATTTGAGGCAATTTTTTTTATATTTCTTCTAAAAAGAATTGATTGTAAAGCGAGAAATGGCGATTCGGCTATGAGAGAAATCACAAAAGCACAAAGAAAGGATAAAACAATATGGCCTATTACCAAATACATCTGAAAATATAAAATTTATCTTTTGTAATTTATATCGTTCAATACAGAAATTGCGGCCGAAGTTTTCACTTTAAAACGTGAACGTCGAACGTCGAGCAACGCCATCTTGTAAACTTAGAAGTTTGACAATGGCGTTTGGAACGTCGAGCATGATTCCATTAAGTCTTCTAGGCTTAAAGAATGGAGGCGCTCACAACGTTCGACGTTCACGTTTTAAAGTGAAAACTTTGGCCGCAAACTTTCTAATAACTATTTCATAAAAGTCTATTTTATTTACCCAAGTAAAGTGAGATGGATAAATTGTATCTTGTCTTTCAGCGTTGTATATCCATATTATTAAAGGATGAATAAGATAAGTGGAATAAGAAACTCTACTAAAAGGCGCAAACAATTTGCAGCTAAGAAATTTACTTACGATTCCTGTTATGGAGTAAATGCCAATTAGTTTATTGCAATTCATATAAAATTTTTCATAATTTGGAACAACTTTTACCTCCGTAACCGTACACAGACGTTATTACAACCCAAGACACGCAGAGAGACCACACAGTTCGATTCGTGGATGCATAAAGAGCAGAGATCCACGGTGCAGGTTTATGACCTAAATTCCAATCTCTTGCAGAAAACAATACTGCGGCACTACAGACACAAGTGCAGATCCATCCTAATGCTTGAATCCACTAAACATTTTACAAATAAATTAGTTGTATTCGTAAATACTAAATACAATTTAAATCAAATTGTTTGAAAATTTAAAAAATTGCATTACTTTACTTAATTTTAATTGAGGCTTCTTGACTAGTAAATAACCAGTTGCTAATCCAATGCAAAATGCTCCAACGTGGGGATATGGTTTGTAATATACTTTTGACCAATCGAGGAATCGATCACTAAAACGAATAATATTTTGCGAAAATTTAAATAAATATAGGCCTATATTATTACTTTTAAAAAATGTAATATTAAAAATCACCTCGAATTTGTATACGATGCGGTTAATGCAGTTGGAGGTAGCTTCATGTAGAGTGTTATAAACGCAGTTACTATCATTGATAGAATCAGTAATATGAAATTGATTATAAGTCCAAGAGTAGACCACCTAATTAGATTTATAGAGAGGAAAGACAGAATTAGTTTTTGATTTATCAATTAATACATAAGTGTAAACTGCGTAATCATTTTTTACCTAATGAGCGGTATTACTACTATTAATGATGCCATGTAAAGTTGTGTATCCGTTGCTAAGTACCAACTGTGATCTAGACACTAAATAAATAAAATTTCTCTATGAAATATTGTAATTATTTATTTAATTTAAAAATACTATTTTTGTGATATTAAATATTAAAATGAATATAATAAGTTATTATAATTGACTTGCATAATTCGAATTGATTATAAAGGGAAGTAAAATATATGCAGAATGGAGGTTATTTAATTTAGGCACAATTCACCAGCACTTTAATTTATTAATGTGAGTGTATAACCCATATTAATAAAATATGGGCATGTTGCGGGGTTTGTAATAAAACGTGGGTGAGGCATGTCTATGAAAGAACACGGATTAACAATGAGTGAATCCAAATTTAGTAATAGCATGTGTTTTTATAGTTGAGCCGTTTTTCCATTAGTTCTCAATTTTACTAAAGGCATACAACGTAAATACATTCTTCTAAAGATTAACTCATAAATTATGTATTTTTTATAATTCACTTTGAACATGTTTCCCAATTATACCAAGGATAATGATTCTGTTTCACACTTTTTGTGTGCTCAAGGATGCCGCTCAAGGAAAACTTCAACTATATCCTTAGATTAAACAAATCTGTAGATTATATCACTAAAATGATTCAATAATGAAAACGGTTTTTATTTTTATTTTAAAACTGTCAGTCTTTGCAATTAAATGCATACAGAATTCTTTTAGATATTGCTCTTTCTATATAAAATATACAAGTATAAATAATATAGTAGCGTTATATTGTTACGACAAATATATATTTATAACTCGGCCTTGTTTAAATTATCTAAATTTCAAGATTATATTTTAAAAATTCGATTTGAATAATTATTTATTAGTTTAATTCAAGTTCTAAGAAGGCCAGATTTAATCATACATTTTTTTAAAAAAGAAATGTCTAATTAGAAAATAATTGTAGATTTAAAATAATTTGAATTTTTAATGCATTTTTTTTTTGTTGCCATTTGGATAAAAACGATGCAAGAATAGTTTATAGTATGGGGATTAGGAAAATCAATCGACACAAGGAACAGCAGAGATCTGACTGTTCCTTTATTAAAGTAAAGGACGTTTACAGTACTACAGTGCTTTGGTATAATGAGACTGGTGTGCACTATAATTTCAATATGGCTTTGTTTTTTATAATAAAAATAACGTGAAAATTACACCGTATTGTCATAAAAATGTAAATAATTTCAATATAATTTAATGCATTATGATTTATATATTGTCACCTTCCTGTATTAAATTGAATGGCCTTACCCCGTTATGACTTTCGATAAAGTTATTAATAAATAATAAATTTCTCCACCACCCTTTACGGCATTTTTCAACTTCCGGATCAAGAGTTAAGTTCCAGACAGGTCCATCACCCAACAATGGTAAAACGAATAAAATTCCAATAACCACAGCGTACGTTGGTGTTAATCTGAAATATTGTTAAACCATTATATAAAAGTTTATTAAATTAATATCTTCTATATTATATTTTATGAATTTTAATAAATGATATACCTGAAAAATCGATAGATGATGAAAACAGGAATATTAAACTTCTTCTTATGCTTTCTTACAATATTTAACGTTGTATAAGATACTAACAAGCCACTAAAATTTAAATTAAATTATTTTATTTTTTTATGTTCTTCATCTATAATTTATTTTTTAAATATAATTTTTAATAAAAAATAATATAATAAAAAAAAGTTTTTACCTGATAAAGAAAAAAGTATCCACTGAAAGTGTGCCATTGGCAATAAATTGAAGATCAAATCCTCTAAAGAATTCTTTATAAAATAATATACCAGCTAAAAGTAGAAAAATATCAATTTGAAACGTTAAAAATATACTACAATTTATATATACTTAATTAATATATACAAAATATACTTAAATTTAAAATGCATGATATAATTAGCACACACGCATCACAATGTATGTATCTTCGCGTGGTATACGATAACAATACCATATTCCTCCTACCCTAATTATTGTGCCCTCTCGACAAGAAAGCAAATAGAAGAAAAGAAGCACCAACTATTCGTCCATGTACCATAGGCAGGTTGATGTGGTAGTGGCAAGAACACTGTGCTTTTGTGGTAAAGATGTGAAAACAGTGGCGTGCCAAGAAGGAGAGTTTTGAATCATCCTGTATATTTGCCGGCCGGAAGACAAGGGAAATTGTAAGGCATCAGTTTACCGTTCTGGGGACCTGAGCTCGATCCGGGTTAGTCGAAAACCTATAGGAATTTTTAGAGGAGGTAGAATCCCGAATAAGTCATGGAGTCCCGAATAAAGTCATGCCCCGTTTCTTACGATCTGACTGCCCCATTGTGGGCCTGGCCCAACCTACAACGAACTTGAATAAAGGTCCTCTTAGTGCCAACAGTGCAAAGAATAATTAAAAAAAGAAACTGTATATTTTAACTGTTATTGCAACATGTTTCAATATTTAAATACAAATATTGAAAAGTGTTCATGTAATAACCTGAAACATTGGCTATAAGTCAAGGTTATATTTGTAAAATTCATTGTAATCGTCCTTTGCACGATAGCGACAAATACATAAAAACTAATAACGTAATGAATCGATTACACGTGTAAAGGCGTGGAGCTATAATACTAGAGCGGCAGCCCCTAGAATAAAGTGAAACCGTACAGGACGGAAGTGGCCATCTTGAGCGTGGAAGAAATATAGTAAGCTCGTTGCGTAAAGTTATAATTCGACGAAGCATTTCTGTTATTTATTAAGGTTTTTATTAACATATTACTCATCTCTATGTGCATTAGAAAACCTTTGAAATTAACAATAGGAAATTAAGATTTACATTACGTAAGTAATAATGTTATTCCTGATGCCGTCCTTTTCTTATTGATGTTTATTCTGGACTTCTGCGGTAAAAGATTTACACGCGATTTAACTGCAAGTGAAGAAGTATATGAAGAAAAATATACTGTGAAGAGCAGCCCACCTCGTCATTTTATACATTTTAAACATATTTGTATAAAATAAACTAGATTAATATAAAAAACAGATGTGGATCTTACTTGGCAAATTTTCAATTTACCTTAAATTTGTATTCTAAATGATAATACGATAGGTATAAGCTGTCATTGTTTGCCAAGGTTATTAAAAAAAAAATACATTATTCTTATCAACTACGTAATCTTAATGCCATACATAGAGTAATTAAACTTAGTGCTTTTAACAGTTCCTAGAAATTACCAAATAAACTGAAGACGTGAAGAAAATTATATGTATTATAAAAACTTTTCACACTTATTTCAGTGTTAGAAAATTATTAAAAACACCTAAGAGAATACAAATGAAGTCAATTCTGAGTAAGAACACTCCATTACTTCTTTTGAAATTCCTATTTAATGTTAAAATATATAGGTAATTCCGAATTCTTTGAATAATTCGAGACTATCAAATTTCATATTTCGAAAGTAAAGCTCATAAAGAAAAAGTAGTAATTGTAGTTAACTGATTAATAGATTGCGTGACATCTACACGATTTATATGGAAATTTCCTCTACACGTGTTCTGTAAATTCCTTCCTCAGGGCGAAAATACCACGTGCTTTGTATTAACAATAGCATTTGTATCTTGATGACTGAATTCTTTATGTATTAGTCTCTTTTTTGTTGTTGTTGTTGTTGTTGGAATAGTGCCATTTTTAATCAATTTGATGTCATCTCTTTTAATTTAAACTGAAGAATTTTAAAGAATTTATATAAAAATGTACACTACTTCGATCGATCGAGCAGACCTTATGCTTTTGTGATGTATAAGCAGGGTACTACAAAAGCAAAAATTAGCTTAATATTCCTTCTTGAATTTGAATGAAAAGAATTCGAATGTATTAAGAGAATAAATGATAATTTATTTAACACAACACAAGCTATAACAAAGAGCATCTTAGGTACTGTACATACAATGCTGTTTTGGAGATTAAGAAAAGGGCAACCCGACGACAAAGGGGGTAAGTGTCGCAAGTACCCCAATGTGTGTAACATTTATCTGGTGTAGTTTAAAAATTATATAAAATGATAAAACCTGTTGAAAAATGGAAACCTGCCAAAACAGATAAAGTAAAAGTTTACAGGTTTACACAAGTTTTTATTGTATTATTAATTTAATTAAATACTGTTAACAGGAATAGAGACTAATGTAAAGATACCAAGCTATAAAAATAAAAATACACGTAATTTTTTTGTGTTTTTTTAAGATTACTCGTTGAATTTCAATAGGAATTTGTTAGTAAATTATCAATTACTTAATTTCATATCTTAATTAACGTAACTGTATAATTCTATGCATTCTATGAAATGAGTTATTATAGCAAATGCTTTGTCATACTTTCAAAAATTGATTCTAAAGAGCACAGTTACCTGACTTTTGGATAACCCTATATATAGTTTAATATAAATGTAAAAATTATATAAACTACAGTTACATACAGTATTATATTAGGAGAATTTATTTTAAAAATAACTTACCTATAGACTGTGTGTCTATGTATAAATGAGAATGGCATAAAATAATCCACGATATAGAAATCACTCTTATACCGTAGAGAACTGTTAACGTTTCAGAAGATTTCTTGCTAAGAAATAATTTCTGTACATTGGTATACAATGAGAAGGATAAAAATATTTCTTTCGTCAAACCTTACGTAAAAAAGAATAAATTCTCAACGTTTAATAAAATTAAAAACAAATCAAAGTAGTAAACTATACAATGTGTTTACTTTAACATTTATCCAGGCGCAAAAGATATCTTTCCGTGCATTACAAGAGTATTTGCATATGATTCAGTAGTTTACTGAGATGTTTAGAGTGACTTAAATTAATTTATTTAATCAATTTTGACAAATCATTTAACGACACATGATCCTTATAAAAGAGCCATCGTGCAAAGACTACTGTGAAATGATTACACTTTATGGGGATGAGACGAAACTTATGAGAAGCAGCATGTAAATGCCACGTCTTGTCCGCTATGCTACAGACCCGGAAGTGCACGAGGACCTTCAGAACACCAAGTTAATTAGGCAGGCCTTTCAAACGGACCACATTCATAGCCTAGAGACTTTGGAATATAAAGCCAGCAAGACCGGCAACTGTATTAACTTTAAAGACGTATGCGTGGAAGTACCTTTATGAAAAATTCGGGCAAATTTAACCTATATTAATTTCATCTCATATATAATACATCTTAACTGTTACTTGTTATTAAAGATTCCATTTTTATTTTTATTTTACTGTAAACATTACAGTGAAACTCATACACCACATGCTTAATACTCGTGTGGTGCTAGAAAGATCTCTTTTGTGCCTTAATAAATGTAAAATGAACATTCTTTTTACATAAAGAAGAAATTTATTTACCAGAATTCTGTTTCTCAACATCATAATTACTTGCATGTCTTTGTAGCAAATCCATAATTGTTCCAATCATCACAAGCAAAATTAAACTCGAGATAAAAATGCTGAATATAAAATTTTATAATTATTTTCTCGAAATTAATTTTTTTAAATGTAATTATTCTTTTTAATATTTATAACAGAACTACAGGAAGAGGGAACACATATTCCGACTCTAATAGCGTGTTGAAGATAAACGTGAGCGTAACTGACTAAATTATTCTGTACCTAAATGATATCAAAATTTATAAAATCTTTTAAATTTTTCGTAATTTCGTAATTTTAAATTTATGAGAAATATAAAATCTGTAGCTACATACAGAATCTTTGTCGGTAATATTAAGAAAATCGGGAACTGTGTCGTAAGATGAAATATCCTTTCCTACTGAAGGGGGAGGTAAACGATAATCGAGAATGCAATAACGAGGAGAAAAGTTCTTCCAGTCTGTGTTAAAAGTCTTCTTTACATCATCAACAAGATGTTTGCATTGATAATAAGATCCAAAATCTGTTAAAGTTCCACCAAAATGTCCTACTGGTAGTTTACCCCACGAATCAAACACTAGAAATAGAAATTTTAGTTAATTTGTTGATTGTTATTTTAATGAATAATTTTCTAAAAAACTATTACTAAATTATTTACTTTATTTTATCTATTTAGATGTTAAATTCATAAATATTTAATAAAATAAAATACATTTTAACCAAAGACTAGATTACTTACAAATTTGATTATATCTCAAACTAGTATATTTATTATATTTAATTTTTTTTTAATTAAATGGAAGCAGAAATCGGGTAAATAACCTCTGTAAATACGATTCTCAAGAGGTTCTGGTATCATCGGTACAAGTTCCAATCATCAAGTAGCTTCTTCCTGTTTGCGGAAGTAAACTCCACTAACGTGCGCTACTGGGCTCAGGAAAATCCTCATTGTTTCCGAGTGAAGTACGTCAGCAGAGTGTTAACAGAATGATCATTTGACCGACAAGTTCTTGGGTTATTTTATATTGGCGGCATCTTTAACTCTCAAAAGTATTTGGAGCAGTTAGTACACCCATTGGATTGTTCCAATTAGAGAGCGGTTACAAGCCACTTTTCAAGGAATGCGGATTAGTCGAGGTGGACAATATCCATAGCCTCCACGCTCTCCTGATTTGATGGCATTCGATTTTTTTATGGGGCTACATAAAAGACAGGGTTTCTCAAATTGTAGTTGAAAATGTCTCATATTTACAACAATGCATATTGTGTTTCAAATTTTGAAAAAATTACTATGTATGTTTACTATTTCCAAATGCAACTGTAGAAAGAGTCTTTTTATGTAGGGAGCCTTTTGTGACTTCTTACGTAACCATGTAAATGTTACAAAATGGCAACAAAATTAAACATTTTGGATAAGCTGATCGTGATAAATTATTATACTGTATATTCACCTTCTTTTCCACGTTGTCAGAGAAAACACACCCCAATAATTTGGCCCACATTCACACTCTATTAGTCCAATTAGGAGTTTACTGTATAATAAAATACTGTAAGGTTCATCCCCTTGATTATTTCCTAATCAGCCATGTCCACTCTATTTTCCATATAATAGTTGACCTGTAACATTATGTACTACAGTATTTTTCCACCCGCCATGCATTGTTCAAGTTCTGTTAAACCCTGAACCTTCCTTTCTACATGTATCTACCCTAATCGTTAAATAAAATATTTTTGTATTGTATATATAAGTAACTTAAAATACTTTTAAAATATTTAGTAATTAAAAGAGTACTATTTTCAGTAATTTAAATGTATTTATACAATCTTACAATGTATTTGAAACTCTCTTAAATCTGAAAAATACTAATTTTCCTCCTTCAAGTTGTCATTTCTTTCAATTGTTAGCCCTTCAAATAATTCATTTTTATCAAAGTCTTTCAAGGTTATAAATAATTTCTATCTAATAGATTCAATGAAGGACACGTCATCTACATGTCATATATGTTAACATCTATTTAAATTCAGTGTTAATAATACAGTAACATAATTAATCTCATGTGTGATAAAAATTAATATTTAATCTTCACAGTAGAAGTTAATAGAATGAAAGATTTTATGAAATTTCAAGAAAGTAAATAAATGTAAATTTACACAACTTATTGCTGTATTTTTATAATATAATTTTCAGTCTTCGTTCAATTGTAAGGGGTTTTTTTCAATGATTTAAATCACGAATTTATAATGTAATTTTTGACATAGTTGACCTTTCGGTTTCACGATATAAATATATATTTCACAATAAGTTTCACATCAGTATTTCACAATGTTTTGTAAAAGTATTTTATGATATTTTTGGGTAATTTTCTAGTGTAATTTTCCTTATAATTTATAAAATTTAAATTTATGACAAAGATTAATTGACTTTATAGATTTAAATCAATATTTCCCTGTGTTCCAATGTAAACATTACTTTTCTTATGAATAAATTTTTATATTTCAATGCTTTCTAGAAAAGTTAAAGAAAAGGCATTTTAATCTTAAATATTCATATAAGTACATGTACATATGTGTATATTTATATATTTATTAGTACAAGATCATTATAACAATAACAAAATTATCTTAAGATTACAAAAAGGTAGTACAGTACAATCTTCTTATAGCCCAAAATTCAAAGACCTATTCAAGATTTAAAGATAATTTAAGCATTTCAAGATGTAGGTAAACGTTGCTTCATCTTTTTAATACTTATAAACCAAATTTAAATCATTTATTTAATAAGAACAACAAGGAAATAATAATAATCAATAATAGTGTTTAAAGCCATCAACAATATTTCGAAGATTTAGTGAACTTTGCTCCTATAAAAAACAGCATTTCAATGAAAACTAACAGTGTATAACAATAAATAAAGGTTTTTGTTTCTTATTTGAACATTGATAAACAACTTATAAAGACAATGGATATTTAGATTCACTTGAAATTATTAAACTTTCCAATAAATTTTTAAATTTCTATACAATAATTTTATGCTAATTCAATTTGAAAAATGAAATTTTTTTATTCGAAAATAGAATGTTTTCAAAATATTTCTGAGAAAATTATTCAAATTTGAAGGAAATATCCCGAGGTACAGTACATAATTCCTCACGCAAATCAAGCTCTTTCCTTTAATTATTCTTTCAGAGAGACATTTCCCTTGGCAGATCGCCCAAGTGTTTCCCTGTCTTATTATTATCAATTTAAAATAATTTTTATATCATTAATTATTATAAAAAGGAAAATAAATGGCTTAATTTTTCGAGGTAGAGATGATCTTTTAAAANGCATACTTATCCTTTTTTAACCCCATTCCCGATAACCCGGCATTTTCACAAACTCGGCCACCCTTCGGTCCACATTAGGCCGAGTTTTCGAGGCTCTACTGTATTGTAATCTCTCCCCATAAGTTTTCCTATATTAAATATAATAGCCATTAAAATTATATATATATATGCACAATTGCTGAGAAAGTGAAATATTTATTGATAATTTACACATTAATTAACTCTCTAATAAAATTTTTAAAGTTGTACCTCAATACATAATTTAAATATTTTATTTAATTAGTAAAAAACAGGCCTATGTAATTCAAAAACTTATAGATGTATTCATTACTATGTTTAAATTTAAAGTAATTTTGACCTCTTATTCTAAATTTTTCATTTATTAAAGTAAACCTGTAGAGAATAAACTAGTTTTTTTACTAATATAAAAACGTAAGTAAAAAATTCTTTAAATGTTTAAAAAAACATTTATATACATTTAATTTTAATTATAAATAATTTAATATATTGTTATTCATATTTTTACTATTCAATTCTTAAAGTTTTCTACCCAATTGTTGACATAAATTAAAATTTAGGGCATATTTGAACATATCATTAAATAAGTAACTAGTTTTATTCTCATTCCACTTTCTCTATTTTCTAGTTTTAGACTTTTTAATTTATAAATTAATCATAGTGACCTTTTATAAATAATTAAATTATATTATGTATAGAAATTTAATGGAATAAAATTTAATATTTTAAACGTATCCCTCCCCATTATTATTTTTTTTTTTTACATTTTTAGGTTCAGGACACCTTGAAACGTTCGAGAAATGTAAAAATATTCTGGGTATTTTCCGTATATATCGACTTTAATGAGGTGTGTGTGGGGTGGCACCATTACGTTCACCCACTTTGAAGCTTAATAACTCCCGTGATTTTTGTCGAAAATTTCTAAAATTTTGCAGGGAAGTTTGTGTATTAGGAGGATTGATACTATTAAATTTTGGTGATTAAAGGGCGACGGGGTGAAGAGATAAAGGCGACCCCCTTTATCTGTTCACCCCGTCCACTCCAGTATGATCGGACTTAATCGCTTTTTTACTCGTTATTAGCATTTACAATTGTTTTTTGAATAAAACTAAACCCTTCCATTAAAATTAAGAATTTTGCCATTTTATAATTAAGAAAGAAAAGTTTTTATTAAAATATGATACCAGATGGCGCCACCAAATGTTGCCGAGAAAGTTAAGCAACTCGTTGAATTTTTTTTATTATTTTATATAAAATAAAAATTTATTCTCGTGTTTAAGCGAAGTATTTATTCAATTTTATCGTCGTGTAATTAAATCATTTAATATTTTCTGAATATTAACCCGAATAACTTTAAGATAATTATAGATACAATAAACACAGCTTCTATTTATTATACTATATTTAAAAAAAAGAGGGAGATAAACTATAGTTAACCTAGTTTAACACGTTTTATAACTCAAGTTAGAGAATTTATAAAGATTTTCTGAATTATCTTTAATACTAGAGATTCAAATTATAATTAACATCAGAATTGATTTTATTTATATTAAAACATAACCAAATTTTCTCATTTTTAATGTGAATTTTACTTACATAATATGAATAAACTTACATAAGGGAGGATCAATAAATAAGGTAACAAGATCTGACAATAGAGAGGAAGATGACTAATTGCCTAGTATTGAGATGTACACTACTTATAATATTAATATATATACGTATAAATATTTCTATACATATGTACTCTTTTATCCAACTTGAAATAGTCCCATGTTTTTTTTCCATTACGTCTTATTGATAACATTCAAAATCGTACCCGATCCACCCTAATAACCTCAACAAATTTCCCTAAATGACCTTAAAACACTACAAAGAAACCTGTTTATCTATGAATCTACGGTTGTAGCGTGATATTAAAGATTACATACTCAATTATCATACTACCAAACGTTTAATGGTGTCATTGAAGGATACGTAACGAATAACTTTTTATATTACTCTCTATAAGAACCACCCAGAACCATTAAAGTTCTGGGGCAAAATATAAATATGGAATCTAAGAAATTAATTTATTATATTAACGAAACGAAGAAAACTTTATATAGGAAACCAGAGCAATTTACTTCTTGGTTTCCCCTGTTTTCTCTTTAATATACAGTAAACAGCAATAAAAATGTGTTAGTGCTTTACATTATATAATAAAATATTACCGTATAAAAACACAAGAATAATTAAAATAAATAAAACGAGGTTGGCGTAATGAACAAACTTTGTAACGGGGTCAGTCTCGTGATTCTAAATCCCACTTTTTAATGGTGAAAATTTTGAATTATTATTTAAAAAAAATACAGTAACCGGTTGCTTAACTTTCCCCCGGCAACGTTTAGTAGCGCCATCTGTTATATAGAAATAGAAATAAAATTTAAATATTTCTAAAGTTGATCTTTAACATAAATCACGTTTTATTTTATAAAATGAAATCAATTAATCATGTCATTTTGCCATTTACTTTCTTTATTTCAAGTGTTATAAGCAGGAAGAAACCTTTAAAATAATAATCAAGTTAACAGATAAGATCACATATTCTTTATTTGATTCGAAACTACGAAGCTTCAAACCAGTTTTACTTCGAATTTTGTAAATCTTACACATAAGCTCTTACTCCTAATGCAATACAAAATTAAAATAAAAGCACTCATAACATGTATAGGCGATTACACCATAGTAGATTAACAGAATAAGTGAAGAATAATAATATAAAGTAAGATTTCTTTCTCGTGTTGTTGTCCTTGTAATCTGGCACGTATAAATTTACATTAAAACATTCAATAACCGTGATTCAAATCTTAGTATTCAAGGTTGTTTGAAAAAAAAAATGAAATAGATTATCTATCAATTTAGTAATACAATAATAAAAAAAATACATATTCACTATGGATTACTTTCATAGAAAAAGAATAGAGAAGGAGATTTTCCTTACAGGAAAATCGTTCTTAATTAATTGTAAAGTAGATAAAGGTGAGGACATTGAAAACCTTTCTGATGAATTACTCTTGTCAAATTAATAGAAATAATATCTTTTGTTTTCTATTATCCAGATACACCGGAGCTCTTCATTACCCCAGTTAATAGAGTTTTTAACGTTTATATGTACACTATATTATATATTTGATTAATAAATATAATATTTAACGACTAATTTATTTATTATTTATACTTTATCAGGATCATATATGAAAGTTGCTTTATATTCTAACAATCAATAAATATAATACGATAATTTAAGTATGTAAATGAGCTCAATAATCTGTCAAATTTACTTCATATTTAGTTTATTAGTACATAAACTATAGCGTGAAATAAATGTTATTTGGGTCGTTATGTCAGATTAAATTAGATACGAAAACCGTTTAATTTAAAAAAAAAATACTCGCTTTGTATATAAATTAATTAATTAAAGTCTAAATTAAACATAATATAAAATTTATTTATTATTATTATTATATTATTTTTAAATTCTTATATTAAATAAATATAATAATTTTTTTTTTATACTCACTTTTAAAAGCCCAAATTTTATTATTTTGTAGACCATATAGAAACTGTTTAAAAGATTCTTTACATTCTTGAGTAATATTTATTTCTTTGGCTATTCTTTTTATTCTGGGTTGTATGAATTTCACTATAACTTTTGTAATAAATTTCAGATTTTCTAAAGTGTTTGACCACATTTTTTTCAATTCTTCGTCATTTTCTATTGTTCCTTCTGACTGTATTTCAGACATTGAGAAAGTTTGAGTAAATAAAAACAAGCAAATAATAATTAACTTAAGAGTCAGAGTCATGATCGTGTTTTCTTTCACTCGTTCTAAACAACAAATGTCGAACGTGACCTAAAACTTTCTATACTTTTCTACTGTATTATAAACAAAACACCAGCACCGGTGTTTCCACCTAGCGGGATTTAATTGAATCATTTTCCTTTTCGTCTTGCAGGAAAATTTATTCTAAAAAACATTAACCTTAAACAATAAGGTAAACATGTTTAGAGTTATAAAAAAAAATGTATAAATATAACATAATTAATACAATTATTTCTTTTTAAATGTATTAATAATATAAATGTTATAAAAGGGTTCGGTTCGTAGTGGCTGTGTTTAGAAATTTCACTGTACTTGTTGTATCAAGATCTTTGAAGGCATTTATGAAGTTTGTGAAAGACTCGATTATATATCTGGTTGAGGGAAGCAGAATTGACGTTTCGAATTCCTAAAATGTAAGCAGTTCTGAGGAGATTGAGCAGTGGATACGTCAGGGTATACGTGTTATACGATACATGGCAGGCATATTATTAGATACTGTGCCAGAGAGACTACTGTCTGATCGTGAGACAAGCACTAAAGTTGCAATGGTGTCTTTGTCCACCATTTAGAAGACAGGTTACACAACTTTATCTTTTCCAGTACCATTGGTAGGCAATTAGTACATGTAAATTTGCTTGCATTAAAGACTGATACGTGAATCACAATTCTGTTTGAGAACAAAGGATTATTGTGTTAGAAGGTAGAGGACCACTGGTAAGTAATGATGGATTAACCCTCAACTGGGCCGAGACACTATTATAATATGGCCCTGGTAGTGATAAAAGAGACATTAACAACACAGAAGTACGTCCAAGAAATCCTGCGCTCTTATCTATTTCCTTTCATGCAACCATTTTTAACAATGTAATGCTCGGTTGAGGAATGTCTCCGTTACTTTGCCACACTTCTTTGGCCTGCTCAGATTTGTCATTTATCGAGCATCTGTGAGGCCTGATGAAACTGCATCTGGGTCTGATTCGTAGGCCCAGAGAATGACCTCTGTAGACAAATCTATCATAGAATAGCATATAGTACATATGTTTTCGACCCGATTCATCGACTCAAATATTCAGGCAAAATGAAGTACTAAAGATTCCTTTAAACTGCACTGTTATCTCACAGGAAATTGTCCTTTGCTATGATATTACAATACATTAAACAGATTATTGGCTTATTTCGTACTTCTAACCCTTCTATTTTATTATACAATTATAGTATTTGATTTATATAACTACAAAGGTTATCTTGTAATTAATTAACCTTAACATCCGAAAGACTTCATATGAATTGTTGGGCTACAATTTGAAAATATTGTAGACCTATAAATTCCCACTATCGACCCTTTAAAGGTCGAGGAGGTGAAGAGATAAAGAGGGGTGTCGTGTGTCATATATCTCGAATGGGTAAAACTTAACTGAAGATTTTAGAATCTACAAGTTTTTTTGGTATCAAAGTGATAATGTCCATCCTCCTTAAAATCTAAGACCATTAAAATTTTAATTGATAATTCTCTGATACGTGAAAAATGCCAATGCTGGCATATGTTTATGTACAGATTACATGTGCATAAATGTAGGTCTATAGTGTATAAATATATACACGCGAATAAGTAAGTGTATTCAAACATAGATGTACGATTTTGTGTATTGTGTATAAGTATCTTATGTATATGTGTGCGTGTATGTAAATATATGTACGCTATACAAAGCCATTCACGAATTGTAAAACTACAATTAATGCAATTCTAATTTAATGTTTATCTTTTCCATCAGGACAATTCTCGGTTTTTTATGGTATAAAATAACACGAGAATGTTTACAGTATTTATCATAAAAATTTCTTTCTTTCAATGACACTCGTGATTTAAAAAACTCCACGTTTTAACGATATTCGTGTAATGAATATTTATTTTATTTTTTATATAAATAAGGTAATAAAAATTGAAAAAATATGACCTTTTGTGTAAGTAATGATTCCAAATTAACATAAGAATTCTTAATATAATTTACGATTTTTTAAATGTATTAGTTTGCTTTTGGGCAATTATACTGTATTGTATAATATAACGTCATTACCACGTATAATTTTACATGAAAAGATGTAATATTTGCTTATTATATAAACACTAAAAGGGGAAAGATATTCAAAATAATACATTGAAGATGTCATGGTCAACTGCTAAACGTACAGTACTTTATACGAAATAAATATGACACAATGATTTATATATAACTTATTATAGAAATATATATTATACGTTTATTTTATCCCAGAATATAATTTATATTTATAATTTAAATTATTTATTGCTATAAAAAAAAAACTGGAAAGTAAAGATTAATGGCTCCACCTTGATCGTCTTTCAACGGAAAATCGAGCAGAATTTAATGCAAGAGCAGTGTGAAAACATTCAAAAGTGGGCGTTTTTTCGGCACGAAACTCACGAAAAATCAGTGGTAGAGGGTTCCTTACTATTAGAAGAGTCCATCCCGCTCCTCTGTGTATGATTCGAATAATAGAAGCAGCTACTATTCAAGGTCGATTAGTATTTCATGGAGGTTATTATTGGTATAAAACAGGTATTTTTTACATTACGAATTGAAAGTTATTTTTTACGTCTACTGTATTATATCGTTATATATATATATAGAGTAATAAATAACCTCTACCACCAAATGTAGTAAAAATTACATTATATATTATCACTAAGCTTATAAAAATCGTAGCACACTAAACATGTGTAAAATGTGTAACATGTCCTCTCCTATTACTCACTCTCATTGGACGAAATATTACTGCCAGCAATAATTATCTCTTGTCCTTGCTTTGAAGTGTAATTTATATATTTCCTTTTATGTATTATTATACAAGTCAGAGGTCGGTAACAGTGACACGTGAAAGGATTTTTAATGGAATGTAACAGGTTTTGATCTCACAGTAAAATAATGAATAATTGACTGATGAAAAAGAATACATTAATAGTTAATTCACTGACAGGTTAAAAACAAACGTCCCTTTACACTACCACTACTTCGAATTTCCACTTATTACGTTTAAATTCATTAGAAATTTCTTCGACACATCACTTAAACTTCAAATCTTTTAAAAATTCATACGTAACCTGACCTTGTAATACATAATAATAATAATAATAATTTATAAGCATACCTACTAAGACCAATTTATTATTTTTTCATACAGGTAAGATTTCTGTTATATATAAACAGCGATTTCCTTAAAGGATTTACTATTGAATTTGGTTGCTTGTAATATTCTTACGTTATTATTTTATTAATTACTAAGGAATATAGGTTTTTGAAGAGGTATTTAAATGAAAACAGTAAGGTTTTACTATTATATTTTGTGTTGTAATGAAGTATCAAACAGGTAAAATTTACTTTACACAGCTTATTATAACAGTAGCTATTTATTGCTACTGTATAAAAAAAATATGTTTACTAACTACTAATATATATGTAAAGTTACTATACAGTAAGCAGGGTTTACTTACTACTACTACTACTACTATACAATACTTTTACTAACTGCTACAGTACATAAACAAGATTTTACCTACTGTTGGTATGTAACAACAAAAGAATTTATTATTATTATATTATTTTACTTCTACTACTGTATTATTAATATTGAAGTTGACTTACTTCTATATGCCCAAGGCTTGTTTTGACGCAAGGCAAATACAAGTTTCAAAATGCTGGCCTGACACGGTGTGGAGATATTGACCTCTGCACTCCCACGTATNTTCTAGATAATTTTCCCTTAATTTCTATAGTGGACAAACAACATGTACTGTGACATCAACAATGGATTCTCTTGTATCAATAACCTTGCTTAATTCCGGCCATACATTCTTCCATAATCCTTTCAAACATTTCTCGAAATTGATGTTGTCTACAGCATCCATGATATTATAGTTTTTCCAAAAATCTCTAACGGATTGTTTATCTGCTCCGTCTGTTTTATCAGTCAGTTGTCGTAATGTCCGCCGCAGATAATAAGCCATTAGCGTTACCACCCGGTATAAGTGTTAAACGATCTTTTCTAGCTTTAAATCCTGATGCTCGCTTTTTTTCACGGGATAAAAATATACGTTTTGGCATTGTCTTCCAGAAAAGGCCCGTTTCATCAACATTGAAAACTAATTCAGGAGACTGGCGTCTAATTACAGAACGATTCCGTAGCCGTAGTTCTGGTTTTTATCACGAGATATCGCTAGTGTCGTGACGTTCAGAAAGCGTGTACCTCGTACTGTACGGTGTGCTTGGAATTTTTTATCGATATTTTAGCTTTAAAACCATACTTTATCATCGATAATTGGTTGTGAAGTATTTCCGTTACGTTGCTAAGAAATCGTTATGGAAAATATTGCGTTGATATATTAGAAAATACTTGTTATTCAGATAAGCACTTCTCAAAAGGAATCTTACTAACAAGCATGTAGGTTTAGAAAATAGGCAAATTCTGGTGGAGGAAAAGTCTATATTCTGTGGTGAGACTTCATGTTCTGAAGGATTTTCTACTTTCCTTCGATTATGTGAACATTGGAGAAAGTACTGTACCTGTACATGGATTTGCCTGTAAAATTCAGAAGCTGGAATTCAAAACTATAAATTCTGTTCTGAAATTTTAAAAACGCTGTATTTAATTAATATATCTTAAAATAATTGTTTTTATGAATATTAACAGCTCATTCAGTTGTAAATAAAAATATCNAAATTCTGTTCTGAAATTTTAAAAACGCTGTATTTAATTAATATATCTTAAAATAATTGTTTTTATGAATATTAACAGCTCATTCAGTTGTAAATAAAAATATCATGAACTGTATTTGACAGATTTCTACGAATGGAAAGTCACAGATAAGTTGAGAACCAACTAAAATTAACTGTGTCGTACTGTCTAAAATTCATGGAATTTATAAATTCTATTCGCGCGACTCTGGCACATGGGATCATGACTACGCTCAATTCAGAAATGTACTGTACTTACAAAAGGAAAAATTCAATAACAGATTGTGCATATGAAAATGTTGCAAATGTATAATTTTCAATAAATCTTTTTCATAAAGAAAACAATTTTTCTTGTAAATAGCATTTTTTTCTTAACTAACGTTCAAATAAATCATTGCAGATCTGTTAAATCAGGCTACAAAAAGTTCATTAATATTTTACTGAGGTTGATTATTTGTTTATAGATTTAAACTACCGATTCAAAAGACTTTACTCAAATCACACAAGATACACTTAACTCTTGGTATTCGCTGGGGTTAGGTTTTTTAAAATCTCGTGAAAAGCAAACAAGTAAAACGGCAAAACCGTATTTGGGACAAGACTATGTCTTGTAGACGGAATCACTTTGATGCTCAAGGCAGGCCTCATTCTCATTCTCCTATCTTCTTTGATATCGCTGCTTTTGGGCCCGATCGTTCAAACTTCGCCGGTCACGATGCATTTACCATGAAATTAACCTATCCAATTTCAAAATTTCTCTCCGTTGCGTGTCGGCCCGGGTTGAATTTTTGTCGATGTATAACGAAAAGTTCCCTTTTTTTGAAAATTTTTTATCGGTCCCACGATTTTACTACACTAGATAATGTTTAAAAAAAACTCACTTGTAACGACATAAAACCCTGCTTTAATGCCATATTTGAAGCACTCTCAAATTTACAAAATTACATTACAAATTTTATTTAACATAGAAGAAACTACGTGTTCAGTCCTAACGTCTAGAGTTCATTTCTTAGAATGACTGCGGGTGGTACTCTCCCCTACCTAACTTCGGTGGGGTGAGGTGGCTGTTTTGCCTGTTTGTAGAAGAGTGTCGCCATTTTGGATTTTATTTTGACTCGATTCTCGTTCCCCCGACTACCTACGAGTCTGGATTTTTTTATGCGCAAAAGATTTGGGCACCTAACACTCTGTGCCAAATATCAACTCTCGACATGTACTTCTTCATACCTCTATGCTGGTAAGAACATCGGGCAGTACGATTTTATAAACAAGACATAAGGATGCCTGTGGAGAAAATTGAGTTTGGTTTTGTAGAACATTTCAAAGATAAAAGTTAATTGTAAAATGAAATATTGCAAATTTTCTAATATAAAACGTATAAATTATTTCTAAAAAGCAATGAATAATTTTATTAAATAACACAAAAAAAATTCGAGTAAGAGATTGAAAATTCAGTAGAAAAATCTTAAGATTAAAAGAAGTTAAGAACGAAAGTTTATATATTCCTTAGAATAATTTTATAATATACTAGCAGACCCCGCCACGCGTTGTTGTGGCTCAAAGTGTATAAATGTATAACACTTCCCCGTGTGGGGGGAAATTTTTCGAAAAATTTCTTTTTAGTGTACGTTCTCTTGGCGTGCCCTATTAAAACGGAATCAAAAACACAAAAAACCGCATCTAAAATAGTAGAAATAGAAGCAGAGTTCTTTATGGTAAGCCTTAATCCTGTTCATCTCCCCCCAGTGGGGGGAATTTCGACACGTATATTATATAAAAACACGTGCGTATTCGAATGCAGCGTTGTGTGAAAATTTCAAAGGAATTGGTAGGAACAAACGAACATTACATTTTTATTTATATAGATAGATAGATGATGATCTACTTTAGTCCATCCTCACAGAAAAGCAAACTTAGGGCGTCATACTCGTAGCGCCATCTGTTGGACATATAAGCCAACCCTAGACAAAAATCCATTGTAGTTTTATTTAATTAATAAAAAATCTGCAGGTTTGATTAGTGGTAAACATTCCGGGGGTCATAAAGATGCTACAGTTAAAATTTGGTAACGATTGGTTCAGTAGTTTTCACGGTTAGTGGTCACAAACGAAAAATACGTTGTCTCTTTATATAATAGTATAGATATAGATATAGATTGTATAATTTTAAATATTTTGAAAATGAACATTAGACAAAAGACAAATTTGACGTTCAACAAAGCAAATTTTTTCGTAATAAATTAATTGTGACTGTAGTGTATTTACACCACTGTCAGAATTATGTTAGTCCAGCTTCTTGCCATCACGAAGTACCGACATCTCGTGGTAAAAAGCAGAACTACAGCTACGGAATCGTTCTGTAATTAGACGCCAGTTTCAGGAGGATAATTCCCTAGTTCTTTAATGCTGCTTTTGTATCTCCACTTGCCGCTTCTCTAGTAACCTGTATGTTATAAAGATTGTTTCTGTTTTTAAATCGATAAAACCACCCACGACTAGCTACGAAATTTTCACTCTTATCGCCTTTTTCATTCTGAATAAGGTTAAAAAAATTTTTCTCTCTTTTTCCATTATAATTGCTTGACTTAATGGCATATTGCGTTTATTCAACTTCATTGTCAATCCAGATGGAAAGTCGTTTTTTCCATTTCCTCAAACACATTGCTTCTGGTACGGATAATTTTTGTTGACGAAGTTGTGGTTGTATTTGCTGATGATACGATTTTTTTTTCTTTATTTTTTAAAATTGTCCGTATTGTTGAAGTTGACAAATTTAATGCAGTGCCTCGAGGAATTCCAATACTACCGCGTAATACCGAAACAGCGCTAAGCTGGATCTTACTGTACATGGTTTCTACTGTACAGGAGCAAGCCACTACTAATTTCGGGTGGAGTGTAATTAAAAATTTCAACCCGGATTGTTACCATGTGACTATAAATAATTGTTCGTTAAGAGATTGTATTTATTCAATTATTTTTTTACTTGGCTGGGAGTCACTGCCGTGACTTTCGATGCTATTTAATCATAATATACCAACATATTTATTATTATATGTGTTGGTATGTGGCTTAATGTACATAAATATACAATCTACAATACTGTACATGTAGTCTTATGAGACTTATAGGAAGTGTTTCCTATAAGTTTCTTTCCCATATCTATTATTAGACATTTATTTAAATCAAAAATTATAAACTGTTATTAACATTTATTTCTGATATATTTTAACTATAATTTACTATATAATTTACTATTATTGTTGGATTTATATAAAGTATATTAAGAATAAGGTTAGTCGAACGGCGCAAGGTTACGAGATAGGCGTGTATCGCTGCACAACTTTATCTCCATCTATCGAAGAACACTTAAATTACTCCTGTGCATGGAAGATTTTTTAGAATGGTCCCCATAGCAATACAGATTACTTTTTTTAAATTTTAAATGGTAGAATTTACCATTTATATACGATACATATACACAAGCAAGTTTTTATGTGCTATGTACTATACAATACATAAGAGTAATGCAATTACACTCGGCCTTTGGTTCATTTTTGCGTCTTTAAGGGAATGAATGCATATGTACTCCCTCTGGCTTCAATTTGTCTTGAAAAGGGGTCGAGTGCCTTTGTTACTTTGATGTGTTTGATACAATTCGTGGTTTTGTTTTATTTATTTTCGTTTAAAAATTGCTGTGGTGTGGCACTTCAATAGTCCTTTGACTCTACTGAGATGGCATAATATAACACTTATTATGGATTAACATTTCCACAGAAATCTGGCAACATTCAACGCTAGTGTCACTTGGTACAGTTGCCTATATCGTTAATTTGGCAGGAATGTTGTTAAATTACTGAAATTTGTATATTTCATGAAATTTCTCTACTCTATTTGCACTAAAAAGACCTCTTTTTTTCAAACCCATCTTCTGTTTGGCTAGGTCCACAACGTGATGGCCGTGTGATAAGGGACAGGTGCCAACATATCTGAAACAAACCACTCTCCGAAAAATTCCTAGACTTTTTCGACTGCCCAAACTCGAACCCGGATCCTCAGAACGGTATGTCTTAATCAAATCCATCCTGGATTCGGGTCAGGCCCATCTGGAAAAGCCAGAAATTGAATGAAGGAGTGCGACATATCAAAGGCAGACTTCATATAACTCATGATATTTCACGTTATTTGTCCACAAGCTATATAGCCATGTCCAATCCTATTGGGAAATTATGCCACGTCTTATAATTTTCATTATAAACTATGACATTAGGATCTTTCTCAATGGCAAAATGATGTAAATGATGCCAATGTTTCTAATGCAAGTTACTCAACGAAAGGACACGAAACATAATAGTTTATATATCAACTGCAGAAGATATGTCTTCTGTTCAACATTAAGTTCATATTATAACTGTTCAATTGCAATGTGCACGAAGATTTTGCTCGTTAAAATCATCGTCTGAGATTAAGCAAACAGGAACAGGGATTTCTTTTGATGAAATTACTTCATAATATTTGAACAACTTCATTGAAACTTAATCTTACGTTTAATTCTTGTTTCTAAAAGTATTTTTAACGCAATTAATCAACACCCCTTAATTAAATAAATATATATTTATCTCTTATTTAATAATCTCTACTTCAAAAATAAAAAAGATATATATGAAAAGCTATTTTAAAATATTTAATTATAAAAATTATACATAATAACAATTTGTTCGATAATTGCTCTCAATATTATACAAAGAATGTCTATTTTAAATATTCTAAAATAATATAAACACATTTGATTTTAAAACATTAAAATAAAAACAATGTTGATAAACTTTTTTACTAGAAAATATATGAAATTATGTATTGTAAACAATTATTTATAACAATGGTGACAAAAAAAACGTGTGTAAATGTATGAAATTAAATTGATTATATAACATACAACATTGGTGCTACACTTAGAATGGTTTATAAATGTGTGCTAATGATGTGTTACAGCTTTACAGATGACTGGAAAATCCTTTGTTTTCGATTCCTCCATTATTCGTTATTCCATGTGTAATTCCATTCGAATTTTGTGATATGAATCTTGGTTTCATTTCAGTTTCGCTGTTTTTAGCTAAAGAATCTAATTTTCCATTAGAACTTACGTCAAAAGATTCATTTCTTTTCCTAGAAAATATAATTTTTTCCAAATTCATAAAAGGTGATTCTAACATTAAAGAAACGACAAGAGCAATTCCCAAAGATATCATAAAATGACCAAATATCAGGTATATCTGTAATGAAATTTACGTTCAAATTTAAATAAATTTTCCGGTAATTTATAATATGTAAATATTACTCACACCAGTGTGATGGGATGGATACATTCTTTCGTGTTGGTAAGCCATGTATACCCATTGGACTAATGGATGAATTAAATATATTGTAAAGCTTAGCCTACTGAAAGGAATCCACGCTTTCCAACTGAGTATGGTATTTATAAATCCTAAAATAATAAATATATAATTATTTATTACTTGAATATTATTTAAAAGTAATGTAATTTGGATTTATTTACCTGCATGGCCTGTAATACAAGCATATATTAACCATGCCACAGAAAGTGACCAGGCAGTTTTAGAAAATGCTGAATAAATCGTAGCAATTTCCACAGAGTAACCATATCCACCATTCCATGGTGCAGTGGAATAAACTATTGACATAGCAATGGCAGTAGAAGACAGCCATAAAGCAATTTGAATAATCTAAAATTAATTCATTTCTCTTATTTAAAATATTAAATTTTCTTTAAAAAAATATAATAGAATTTAGGATATTCTTACTGGTTTAATTTGTATCTTTGGTTTCCTCAAAAATAGATATCCAAGAGCCATTCCCACCATGTAAGGCCCTATATGAATGTAAGGTTTGAAGTATTGCAGAGACAATGCGTAAGCCCTGTCACTGTATTAAAATATTTTTTTTTCTTAATTTAATTATAATTCTTATAAATTATGAGAAATTATATTTAAAATTTACTCTGGATCTGGTGTTCCGGCTAGTGGTGTGGGTGGTAAATCGTTAAAGTAGTTAATGAGACCGGCAGTAATGGTTGCAGCTGCAGTGATAAAAGATCCAGTAATAACAGCGATGACGGGCCATCTGTTTATTTGATACAGAAGAAAGAATTATAACGTATTTATCGTTTCTGTATAATATATTTAACGGGTATAATTACTTTATTAAAGGTATTAACACGGCAAGACCCAATAGATGAAGCTGGAAATCTACAGCCATATACCATGATGATTCAATGCACTAAATGAAATTAATTTATAAATTAGTGATTTTCTTATTACGAAATTAAAACAATAATTACTACTTACCATTTCGTCAGAATTAATGAAGTTATTTAAGAAAATTAAATTGGTCCACCAATTTTTTCTACATTTATCGAGAAAAAAATCTAAAGTTACGTGCCAAATTGGACCACTTCCCAATAATGGTAAAAAGAACATGGATGCCACACTCATAAAATATGCAGGACTTAATCTATATTAATAGAAAATATTAATACATAGAATGAATTTAAAAATTTAGTAAATAAATTTATATTTTTACCTCCATAAACGATGAAATATGTACAGTTTAATATCTAAATGTATCCCCTTCTCTTTTGCTTTCAAAATACCATAAACAGAAAGAAAACCGCTAAAAATAAATAAATAAATAATGCAAAAATTAAACAGTAATTAAATTTATTTTCAATTATAATCATTTAAAATTTTATTTCTGTTAAGAAATAACAATGTTTTGTTATATACCTTGCTCGAAATTGAAAATAAAAGTGTTCATTTATATTAATGTATCACACTTCAGGGGGAATTTATACACGAACAAAACATCTCTCTTATGGTCTAGTTGGCCTTACACTTTATAAGGTCTCACGTTTATAGTTTTATTATAATACTAGCAAATAAGTACTTACTGTGAATACGATATGGATGAAGAGTACACTTAGATACTGTGTTATCTATTGTATATAGGCCTACATGTACAGTACATAAGTGTGTATTTTACATTCTTTTACCTGTACTTATCTGATTTTTCTCATTTATTTATTTACAAAGGTAAGGAGTTACTCTATTGATGTTTTTTAGATAAATTTTAAAGATTATTTTTCTTAAAAAATAATATTTTACCTCAAGAAAAAGAAAGAATCGACGGCAGGAGCCGAATTTAGTACTACTTGGAATGGTATACTTTCAGAAAAAACTTCTCCAACCATGCTGGCGTGTTCTAAATTATAAAAAGAAAAGTCATTTAAAACACTAATAATTGAATTTTCGTGTCTAAATTTAATAATAAAATAGAAAAAGAAATAAACAAAACAAGACTCAAGAATGTACAGAATGTTTTATTTAATATAAAATATAACATTTTTTAAATGTTTCTTTACGTAATGGCATTTTTAAGATTTGAATGTACTGTACAAACACCAAAACAGGATTGACAGCTGTGACTTCTGCAGCTTGAAGAATTTCCTATTGTCAGAAATGTACTGTACAACGCTCGGTTGTGCTTGTTTAGGTGCTTGAAAACTTTGCTGCCTTTTCCTGTCCAAGTTGTTTTCTAAGTTTTGAATAAACAAGTCCATAGGTAGAGAAAATTCTCTCAATTCCCTCTGAAGAAGCCACTGATACGTTCAGCTGTGTAACTAATTTTAAAACAGATTCATCAATTCTGTCACTTAGTGACTGCCACCGTGTAAGAGGAGTGATATTAGGTGTGACACAGACTCAGCAAACGTGTGTTGCAGAAATGGGGTAGTTTTTTCCAAGTATTTTAAAACTGAAGGCATAGCGTGGCACAGAGTTAGTGCAGCATCTTTCGTACTGTCTGTGAACTTTGCACCCTGGTATCTTGGATCCAGAAGATGTGCTAAAAGGTCTGTGATAGCCATATTAAATTTGTCTTTGGCTTGTTTGCGTGACTCCAGTGATTCCAAGTTGTTGCAAGTCATTTTGAACACTATAAAAGTAATAATATCATTAGATGTAAAAAAACGTGCTTTTATAGAAAAACTATATGAAAAATTTAAAATAACTTTTACTGTATTTGATAAATATAGCTGCAGAGATTGTTATTCTTTCATTTGACAAGCGTGAAAATTTACACGTGCAGTCTATATTGTTTACAAACCAGTTGACATTGAGAACAGCTGGTGAATGTTTTCTCGGGACGTTGGTAAGAATGGTGAAAGTTTAGAACGATTTAATTACTTTAATTAAGAAAAAAAACTCTCATAAAAAAACAACAAGGCAATNATGTATTATATTATACTTAAATATAATTAAAAAACTTTTACATAAAAATAACAAGTGTTCAGGATATAAAGATAACGTAATTACTGATGCATAAATTAATGTTAAAATGTAATTTTATAATACTTGAACGGATTACTGACCTTTAAATTGGGTAATAAAATAACTATAAATTCGTTTAAAAGTAATAAATTAATAATAAAATTAAAGTTAAATTTTTTTTATGATGCTATAAATTTTATTATTAATTTACTTTTAGTTTTCTAACTTGTTGTCACTTAATAGAATTATCAAGTACGGTGTTTAAAGATGTTTTCTAGATAATAATAATAATAATTTTTTGTGATAGAATATTGCGTGAGATAAAACTAAATATATTTTTTTAAATGGCATTCAAGTTTATTCTCTGTCACGCAAATTGTTTTTTATTCTCGTTTGAAAAAACACTTAAGATTTACGCTCTATTCATTAACAGGAATAGATGATAATGATAGAAAAAACAACAAGGCAATTAATATGCTAATTAATAAAATGTTATAAAAAATTTTCATAGATCATAGATAAGAATATATATGTATTAACCCATAGATTTTTGGAAAAGGACCGTTTTTTTTCGTAACGCTATGGAGATAACTAGGGCGAAGAACTAAAGAATATCTATATAGATACAAATTGAGTTATGATCCAGTAAGTTATAGAAAATTTTAAAAGTTATAATGGTTCGAAATACTCACCCAACTGTTGCAATTCCTGTATATCATCCTGTATGTAGTTATCTTCAATACGTTTTATCATACTAGCGACTAATCCAACCATTTCTTTCCTACATATTTTGAATTACACCCTGCATGCTTGTTTTCCTGGATTTTCAGAAATTATTTTGTATTGTTTCCAGATATTATAAAGCCTTCTTCCTGCACTCATTTTAACAAGTAACAACGATAATAATAATGTCTTTTTCCATCCAAGTAATATTACAATACATTAGCTGTATTACTAACAGTATTAAGGTTTAAGTATAAAATCTTCAGGCTCTTTCTGTTACTATTCTGTAACTTAAACTTATAGTAACCAAAGCATCCCATGTTGTCACTATAGTGCTCTTTTGTTTTCAAAAATATAACAGAAAGCAATGAATATCATAATACAAGAATATTGTAAAATAGATCGAAATAAATGAAGATTTATTTGTTTATTTATAACAAGTAAAGTAGTGTAGTGGGATCCTTTGATTCAAGATCTCATATTTAAGTAATCTGAAGAACATTTGTTACAAGTTATTCATTCAAATACAAGTATTTCTGTGTATTACGGTAGAAAAATCTTATATTTTTCAAATAATACAATTGTTTAATGTTAATTTCATATACTAGAAGCTTTAAAAAGTTAAGACACTATTTGTTTTAGTAATATTTTCTATAAAATACTCACTTAGCGTGCCATAATTGACGTACAAGTAAGAATGACAAACAACGACCCAACATATGGTAAAAAATCGAAAGCCATAAAGACATGGAAGAGCATCTGGTGCAATGTCTGTACTCATCAATCTCGGGAAATTCTTCTTTAATGAGAAACAAAGAAACACTCTCATAGCTAATTAGTAAATAATAANAGTAAGTTATAGAAAATTTTAAAAGTTATAATGGTTCGAAATACTCACCCAACTGTTGCAATTCCTGTATATCATCCTGTATGTAGTTATCTTCAATACGTTTTATCATACTAGCGACTAATCCAACCATTTCTTTCCTACATATTTTGAATTACACCCTGCATGCTTGTTTTCCTGGATTTTCAGAAATTATTTTGTATTGTTTCCAGATATTATAAAGCCTTCTTCCTGCACTCATTTTAACAAGTAACAACGATAATAACAATGTCTTTTTCCATCCAAGTAATATTACAATACATTAGCTGTATTACTAACAGTATTAAGGTTTAAGTATAAAATCTTCAGGCTCTTTCTGTTACTATTCTGTAACTTAAACTTATAGTAACCAAAGCATCCCATGTTGTCACTATAGTGCTCTTTTGTTTTCAAAAATATAACAGAAAGCAATGAATATCATAATACAAGAATATTGTAAAATAGATCGAAATAAATGAAGATTTATTTGTTTATTTATAACAAGTAAAGTAGTGTAGTGGGATCCTTTGATTCAAGATCTCATATTTAAGTAATCTGAAGAACATTTGTTACAAGTTATTCATTCAAATACAAGTATTTCTGTGTATTACGGTAGAAAAATCTTATATTTTTCAAATAATACAATTGTTTAATGTTAATTTCATATACTAGAAGCTTTAAAAAGTTAAGACACTATTTGTTTTAGTAATATTTTCTATAAAATACTCACTTAGCGTGCCATAATTGACGTACAAGTAAGAATGACAAACAACGACCCAACATATGGTAAAAAATCGAAAGCCATAAAGACATGGAAGAGCATCTGGTGCAATGTCTGTACTCATCAATCTCGGGAAATTCTTCTTTAATGAGAAACAAAGAAACACTCTCATAGCTAATTAGTAAATAATAATAATAAAATAAAAACATAATTAAAATATTTATCATCATTATATTTAATATTATTAATTAAAATTTTCTTTACTTGTGGAAGTGTAAAATGATGATTTCTGCATTGCTTTCCTTGTCAAAATTACGTCCAGTAAAGTACTTATAAGTGTTATTAGTCCAAGGAATGATACAATAGCTCTAAATTAAAAATAAATTTAGTTTTTTACCTTTATTATTTCATAAATTTTATTATAAAAATGTATTAAAAAATAAATAAACTAACATATACGTCGCTTGAAATGGAGAAATTTTCTTTGATTCTTTAATTTCACAATGAGGAACATTCGAATATCCAGCTATTTCGAAATGTTTTGGAACTAAAAATATATTTTATTTATTTATTTATAGAAAATAAATTGAATATTTTAATATATATTTTTAAATATCTTACATTGTGAACATATATTTAATATATCATTATTGGTGCATGTAGAAGGAAAACATACTCCAAATCTCATGCTAAGAAAGTAAAAATAATGAGCCAGTTTTGCATTTTCACCTTGAACCTATAGGAAAAATAAAAGAAAAAACAGTAAATTTTATTTTTACAGAAGAAATTATAAAGAAAAAAAAGTATAGAAAATATAACTTACAGTTCCTGATAAACTGAGATTTTTTAATACAGGTACAATAGATTTATGAGTGTAAAATCTAGGTTTTGGTGGTACTAAAGGGCGAAAATCGTATAAACAATATTTTCCTGTAAATCTTAACTTTCCATTTTCTATAGCTTCTATATCTAAACATTCTTTATAAGATCCAAAGGCTGCAATACTTCCTGTTAACATTCCTCCTGGTGGTTTACCCCAAGCATCTCCCACTATAAATGAATATTCGATCAATTATTTACAGTAAAATACGTATAAAAATGTATTATATTATACTTAAATATAATTAAAAAACTTTTACATAAAAATAACAAGTGTTCAGGATATAAAGATAACGTAATTACTGATGCATAAATTAATGTTAAAATGTAATTTTATAATACTTGAACGGATTACTGACCTTTAAATTGGGTAATAAAATAACTATAAATTCGTTTAAAAGTAATAAATTAATAATAAAATTAAATTGAAAGAAGCATAGAATATTTAATATATCATTATTGGTGCATGTAGAAGGAAAACATACTCCAAATCTCATGCTAAGAAAGTAAAAATAATGAGCCAGTTTTGCATTTTCACCTTGAACCTATAGGAAAAATAAAAGAAAAAACAGTAAATTTTATTTTTATAGAAGAAATTATATGTAAAAAAAATATATATATAGAAAATATAACTTACAGTTCCTGATAAACTGAGATTTTTTAATACAGGTACAATAGATTTATGAGTGTAAAATCTAGGTTTTGGTGGTACTAAAGGGCGAAAATCGTATAAACAATATTTTCCTCTAAATCTTAACTTTCCATTTTCTATAGCTTCTATATCTAAACATTCTTTATAAGATCCAAAGGCTGCAATACTTCCTGTTAACATTCCTCCTGGTGGTTTACCCCAAGCATCTCCCACTATAAATGAATATTCGATCAATTATTTACAGTAAAATACGTATAAAAATGTATTATATTATACTTAAATATAATTAAAAAACTTTTACATAAAAATAACAAGTGTTCAGGATATAAAGATAACGTAATTACTGATGCATAAATTAATGTTAAAATGTAATTTTATAATACTTGAACGGATTACTGACCTTTAAATTGGGTAATAAAATAACTATAAATTCGTTTAAAAGTAATAAATTAATAATAAAATTAAAGTTAAATTTTTTTTATGATGCTATAAATTTTATTATTAATTTACTTTTAGTTTTCTAACTTGTTGTCACTTAATAGAATTATCAAGTACGGTGTTTAAAGATGTTTTCTAGATAATAATAATAATAATTTTTTGTGATAGAATATTGCGTGAGATAAAACTAAATATATTTTTTTAAATGGCATTCAAGTTTATTCTCTGTCACGCAAATTGTTTTTTATTCTCGTTTGAAAAAACACTTAAGATTTACGCTCTATTCATTAACAGGAATAGATGATAATGATAGATGATTAGGAGGTGTTTTTGCTATTCTAAATTATAAATTAACGTATCATAATATTATATTATGAAAGAAAAACATTCTATTCATCATCATATAATAGAAAAATCATCATAAAATAGAAAAATCATCACCACAATGAATAGACGATGATGACGAAAAATCATCACCATCATCATTTATCCATTTAAATTTTGTTTTTTTTTATATTCAGGAAAAGTGTATCTATCGAAATATAATTGATAGGAAGATATAGGAAGATAAAAATAACTGTTAACAATGTCAAGGATGTTAACACAATAACCTTTGTGATGTGAATTAATAATATATTAATATTTCTTTTGTTTCTTAAATTACACACCTAATTATAATGAAGATTATTATTATTATTTATTATCGTTTATTTATGAGATTTTTTTTTAAAACATCTTTAAAGTTTATTAGGTAAATTGATAGATTATATTAAAGCAAGGTAGGAATATAAATATATATATATATATAAAGCACATGTCAGTGGGTATATCAAGTCTTAAGTGCTAAAAATGGAAAAGGCGTTTGAATAACCTTTTTAAAGGGGATAATTATTCTGAAATTTTTTAAAAATTATCCTTCAAAATGAACGAAATTACTTAAGAATTTTGTATATTTTTTTAAAAAATCCCAAACTATTGTACACATCTGGAATTAAAAAAAAAAATTAATAGCCCAGGAGAATGTCAAATTCATATATTTATCATACCGTGACAGACAGACGGACATTTTTTTTTATAATTTTACACTTATGTGATTATTAAATGCAATTAAAATATAGAAATCTGGTATTTATTAAGTATCACTTGTCAAAAATATTCTATTTACGAGTTTGTTGACCGGTCATACGATAGCGAGTAAGAGACTTATTTGCCATCACGTTGAACACTGACCCATATCTATAAAAAGAATTAATTCTTCCATTAAGAAGAAAACAGACATTTTCCTGTAAAAGTATCGTTTACCAGATACGTTGAAATTATACAATGACGTTGACATAGAAAAAAAAAATTGTGTCATCCTCGTGAAAAAAATTCATTAATCATAATTCGAGATAACTTATCTTGCTTTGTATTTAAAGAGTATTAACATATTTTAATTAATCTTAATATAATTAGCCTTATATTATACACCTTTTGTTAAATCTTATCTATTTTTTTATATTGCAGATAAGGCTTGGTAATGCTTGCGCTTTGTTATTCTTATAATTGTGATCAGATACGTAAAGAAACATATCAGGCTATATGCCTGATATAGGCTTATATATATATATATAAGCCTATTAGATGTGTGTGTATATATATATATATATATCCATAGTATTTCCTAGTTCCTGTTTATTCTGTAGCTACTCTCTTCTACAAGTACAGTACTCCATTTTGTATCTACTCACTTTATTCTATAGGTACTGTACTGTACTGTACTTTCTTTATTCTACAGGTACAGTACTTTATTTTGTAGCTACTCTGTTTACTTAACAAGTACTCTATTGTGAAGACACTGACTTATTTTGTAGGTTCTCTGTTTACTCCGTAAGATACGCAATGTCGCAGGTACCCTTAAATCGTGGGTAGATATTCAGTAACAGAATTTCATTCATAAAAATATATTGTATTTATAGACACGGTTCCTTTTTTCCCGTCTATTGTGATTATTTTAAATGGTCCGACGTTAATTTCGGGGTCGATCTCGGTGGCAGACATAACGAAAATACTTTTCTTGGCAAGAAGATCTCGGTGTAGAGTATTGGCAGAGCGTGACCCGCCGTTCGCATTTTTATGAGGCGAATGCGTTTCTACTCGTCGAGATGAGGCCGAATTAAGGTGGCGAAAGGTGGGGAAGTGGCCTCGAGCGCGGATTTTCTTCCATACTAAAGGAAACTGCCTCGTGGTTTGGCCTTCGTCGTTTTATACCAAAGGAATTGTCACATTAAACCCATCCAGTTTCGAGCTGCCCCTTCTCCCGGGTTTCTTTCCGGGATCCGCGCTGTTATTGCCGTGTAATGTGGGAGAAACTGCGATTTCTGGTGTCGTTAAATCGAATGGAGCGTCGATTTATTTCATATTAACGTGTAAATTATCCGATGTAACGTTCCCGCATATCTTTTTTCTTTCCGGCGGCCATCGATTGTTACGTAACACGTCCGAAATCACGCGAAATCGAATGGATTTTCGATGGGGTCGAACCCTCGTGGGCGTCTCTACGCTCGATTTCTGTCATTGGTCGATACCCGGTACGACATCGCAATACGTAACGTGGCGCTTCCACGTAAATTATGATAATTTTAAGTCGAGTTTCGATTGAATGGGAGCATTGGGCCCTCTGTCTCCCCCCGTTGTGGATCATGGATACGGAAAAAAGGCCCTTTCGGTGCCCGCCAGGTCATTATACTGATATTACAAAACAATTACGACGTTCCCGGAGTGACGTAGATAAGGATCGAGTGCGCTTCCGACCAATCGGATCGTTTGTCTTATTGTTTTCTTAAGGCCTGTGTTCCTGCGCGAGTATTGTTGGAATCGTTAGTTCGGGCAGCAAACCCCGCTAAAGCGTAATTTTATTAATTGCTTCGTTTTAACGTTCCTCCATCGAGAGACGGGGTTGTTTCTAATTACGAACTCGCTTGTCGTAGCATATTTGCATCTAAATACAGTCATCAGTATAGCGAGCACCCGATATAGCGTTGGTCTTGTTATTCTTTACGTATATAGTGAATTAGTAGAGAATATATGCCGAACTCTCGAAGGTTTTTGTTCGATATATCGAGAAGCCACTCGATATAGCGACTTAAGTAATCCAACAGGGGAGTGATCTGTGTTTAAAACAATAGTCTAGAGTTGTCCTAAGGCTTTAAAAAAGGCCTTTAATTTCTGACGAAGAGGGCACGTGGCGTTTTTGACGAAGAGGGCACGTGGCAGCTCTGTCCAAAATTACAATTCTCGCCGCGACTTCGTTTATATTGACGACACTAGCGAAGATCGATCGTTGTCGGAGAGAAAATAGTCCGGTAGAATTCTCGCTCGTCGCCCAGCGAGTGGAGCGAAATCGCTTCGGATTTTTGGCAAATTTCCACGCGAGAATCACGCACGCGCTCCCCCTTTCGCTTTGTCAAAATGGGGATCGGGGCGCAGGG